AGTCTATTGTGTTCTAGTAGACATTTTCCCCATAGAAACTTTTTTACAGGGGGATGAGGCTTAGATACTTTAGGGTCTTAGATATTTTAGGAGCTTGACTATTCTCCAATAGAATCTGACCTTACTAAGGAACCTGTGTTCAGCAGCCAAGTAACCAATTTGGAAATGAACTTCTATTTCAAGGCTTCCTTCCTTCCTGCCTCTCTAACTTTTTTTCCTAAAGAATTTATGTTTATCTGGATTATTAGTTATTTTCATAATTGCAAGAAGATTGCTTGCAAATATCCAACAAAAAGCAAATACAATGAATAACCAGTATTTGAAGATTAGGCACCAAATCAATCACTTCTAATATTAACTTAAGGAACTCAGGATAGAAAGTAAGGGAGAGAGTAGAATGTCCTTTTCTCATAGTTCCTTAAGTGAGACTAAATTTGTCCCCACACAGAAGGATTTAAATCTGACCCTGTGTTATAAACATAAATATTTTGAAGGCAATTTGAAAGCATGCCTATTTACCAAAATAATGGCAAGTTCTACCGAGGGCCTATGACTACCCAAGCCGTAGTACCAAACTTGAAATCCTTTCCTGTGTAGCAGGCCTCATAGCAAATCGTGAAGTGGTTAGTTACCCCATGCCGGGACTGCGCCAGCAGGCAATCTTGCCCCGCAGGGCAGTGTTGCCGCATTCCGGGTTCAGCCCTGAGACCCCTGACCTCTCCTCCGCCCCCAGCAGCATGCGCAGTGACTGCCAGCTGTATGAAAGTTAACCAACAGGAAAGGAGTTTCGACTGCTCTGTGTTCTGCAGCCAAAGTGTGTGCTATCGTCAGCCACAGGGTCACCTGGTGGAGTGATGGTGAGCACCCAAGAGCAATGGTAATATTCTTTATTGTTGTGCATACCTCAGGGGGCCTGCCCTGAACTGTGAGATTCCTTTAGTAACCCATGTCTTTGGGGAGCAACATTGTCCACATATTCAGAGTAAAGTTCTGTTCGTATTTTTTTTTAGTTGTACTTTGAAATCAGATTACTAACTAGTAGGTTTCCATAAGGCTTTTTAGTAGGTTTAGCTAACGTACCCACTATCTTTTCTCTTCTCCATCCCCTGGCTCCTATCCTCACTTAATTTTTTAACTCAGTATTCCCACCCCCTCACCTTTCATTTCACATGTGTTCTCCATCCTTCCACTTTACTTTTTAAGTTGATTTTGAGATGGTAGCCTTCCACATCATACCCCACTTCCTTCAATCCCTGATTTTACCCAAACTCCCATACCAGTGGACAATAGTCAATAGAGAGGTATGTGGCTAGTCAAAGTGCTGAGAATAAGAGCCTGAGTATTCAGCCCTAAATGATTCCTCTCTATTAGCTCCACTAACCCCAAAGCTTAGGGGAACATCAGAGAGGCAGGAAGAGTGTAAGAACTGAAGGATGAAGAGAAGTTTTGAGGGTGCTGTCTTCTGTACATGACGTGGTTAATACAATCACGAATGCATAGCAGCTAGCGTTACCTGCACAAGATGAAGCCAGTCAAAACTGGGGGGGGGGGGTCTCCAGGCTCCACACCCTCCCTGAAGCTCTATTGGGAGTGAATAGTTGCTGGGGTGCCAATCATTCTTTATTAAGGCTGTGGCCACTGATAGAGCTCTCCTATGCTCCAATGGTTGGCTTCACCCCCTTATACATATGGGCAAAACTAACTCAACCTTAGTGTGTTATTAAAAAAACAAAGAAACAAAAAAACGGGAGGAGTTAGAAAGGTGGAAATGGGAGTAGACATGATTACATTTCATTGTATACGAAATTCTCAAAAATAAAGAAAACCTGACCTGGAACTGACCTCCAGCCCCTCTCTACCCTTCCAGAAACAAGCATGCGCACAAGCAACTGCCCTCCTCCCTTGGTTCTGGCTAAGCTCCGGATGCAGTGCCTCAGCCCCAGTGCTGTGGGCTGTGGACAGTTTCTACACTGCCGTTTAGATACCCCTGGGATGCTTGTTATGGGGAAATGCCCACCAACCCAAAGTTCTTGTGATGCTAGCAGAAAGGGTGTGTGTGTGTGTGTGTGTATGTGTGTGTTTACAGTGTAGGGCTGAGGGGTGGGATCGCTGTTGCCAGGTTAATCTGTTTACAGGCACTCCTGTACCTGTAGCTCCAAGCTTTCTAAGGTATATTCAAAGCGAGTTTCATCACCTCTCACTCCACGTGTTCAAGCCTCATGTGATGGCGGCTCCGGTAGGAGCACAGTGGTGTGTTTTACTGTTTCACTAACCCTATTATAGTTACCAGAAGTCTGGAGTTGGAGTGTGTAGTTTATTCGACAGTACATGGACTCGGAACTAGCAGAGCTGCTTTTTAATGAAAAGGTTTTAGATGTTTCAAAGTTTTGTTTTCCATGTGTAAGTCCTTAGTGTCTGTGCACCATGTGTGGACGTGGCACCTGGGAGATGCCTTCGGCCTAGTGCCTCAAGAGATCTGAAGAGGGCATCACATACCCTGCAACTGGATTTACACTATGTGGGTGCTAGGAGCTGAGCCCAGGCTCTCTGCAAGAGCTACAAGTGTCCACACTGCTGCACCGTTTCTCCAGCCCCTAGTGGCGTTTCCTTTAAGTGGTCCAGTGTGTTTTCTTCAAGTCTTTCCTAACAAATGATGTGTTTTTTTTTTAACTTTACCAATATTATCATATATATGTTATATACATTATATATATATATACATATATAATAGACAGGGTCTCATGTTGCCTAGGCAGGCCTCAAACTCACTATATAGTCAGGGATGACCTTGAACTTGATCCTCCTGCTTCCTCATCCTGCTGAGATTTTATCTGGCACTACGGGTTGAACCCAGAGCTTCTCACATCCTGGACAAGCACTCTGCCAGCTGAGCTATGTCCACACCCTATACCTATAAATCAGTGCTACTTATAGTTTCAAACCACTTCCTTGCAGCAGAAACAGCAAGTATGTGGGATGGGTTCAGAATTAGGAAGACTTAGCTTGAATCCCCACTCTTCCCTCCTTTGCTTTCTTTTGGATGAATAACAGGGTCTCTTGTGTACTTAGAGAATAGTATGCAGATTGCCTGCCTGAAGCTTAGGTGTGTCCCACTCCTATGTTGTAGTTATTGCTTCTGCTTAATGACAAACTTTCAAAGCTACCTAGAGCAGAAAGGATGAATTGGCTTGCTCTCTCCAAGCTCTCTCCAAACGCTGTTATCTTTGGTTTCATTTTTGTGGCACTGAGGACCCATGGCCCATGCTAGTCAAATGCTCTATCACTGTGCCCAATACCCAACCCTCTTCAGATGCTTCTGAAGTGCTGGGTGAGCACCACAGAATTTTAGAGCTAAAGTGGCACCAGGAGATCACCTACTCAAAGAGTCATTAAAAGTTCTTCAAGGTTCTCTGGCCTGGAACAATTATTTCTAACACTGATGTACATGAGAGTTATTCAAGGCTCCTTAGAAGGTATATGTTGGAGCTCCTTCTGTGAATCAGACTCTGTTATAGTGGTACTCAGGAGTCAGGCATTCCCAGTGGCTGGAATGCTTGGCTACATCTGAGAACCTCTGGTCTGAGAGTCTGTGATCCTTTAGGAAGTCCATGGCTGGCTTCAAAGGCGTTGTACATGACCTCTCAGAAGTGATAAGCTTTTGTGGATATTTTCCATCTCTGATCCAAATGCTCAGCTGTTTCTCAAGTCTCTTCCCTTCCATCCCCACAGAATGACCATTTGGCTTTAGTTAGAATTCCAGGCCAGTCCACCCTGCACCAGCATAGCTATGAATGCAACCCAAAACAAAATTGGAAACTTTTTAAGGACACTATGAGATTGGTTTTTTGTTGTTTTTTTTTTTAAGTTTGACTGTGTGACTCTTGAGAGTGAACTTTGTAGGTAACCTGTCAATGCCAAAAGGTTGGACATTTCCAGTGATGGAAAAGCAATCCCTCCTTTCTCTGGAAGTTCATATTATCTTTGAGAGAGAATAAAGATAAGCTACACCTTGAATCCAAGTCATAAAACATTAGAAGCAATCACCAAGGTCTTTGTGTGAAAACGCTTCATTTATAGAGAAAAAAAAAAATCGAGACAAAGAGAATTGATGTTTCTTGACCAAACTAACATAGTGTCAACTGGAGAATGAATGGCCAGATTTCTTGGTTCCCTGTTTCATGTCTATTCTCAGAACATCCCACCCATCATCTGTAGTCAGAAATACCCAGCTTGGAACCATTGCATGGAGTGAAGCTCACATCAGGTGGCCAGCAGAGCCCCTGGCATACGGGCCATGTCCCATAACTGATGGCCATCATGATTCTTACCGCAGTGATCAAAACACAAATCCCAGGTCCACAATCTTCTGAAGGTCTTCTCTCCACCACACAGCATGAGTTAAGGCTAGATGTAGGGTCACAACACACTTTCAACTCTCAAGTCCCAGCAGCAGAACATGGCACAAAGTACCGCACTTGGTGGGTTGAACGTGGTCTCGCTGCAGAATATGGTTTTGAACATCCCTTTGAAATGTACGTTGGAATTTAATTTCCATGGACTAGGCAGAAGTGAGATCTTTAAGGACTAGACCAGGGGTGTAGCTCAGTGGTAGAACTTGCCCAGAATGGGAGAGAGACCACGAGTTTGGTTCCCAGCACCCAAGACAAACAAGCACAGTTGGTTAAGCCTCTGCCACCATGAGCAGGTGAACTCACTTCCGAGCTTAATCCGTCAGCGGGTTAGACTGAGAACAGCGAGGCTGGAACAGCCATTGGCAAGGTGTCTCATGCATAACCTGTCTCTTGTCAAGTGGTGCCTTGATGTGACACTGCTAGCAAGAAGGTGGATAACATAGAGCCCTCTACCCTGGAGTAGAACTGAGTCAGAATACACTTCTTTTCTAGTAACTTACCCATCTGTGGCTCTGCATTATTATCAACAGGTATCGGCCAGAGACTGGGTGTCAGGGAGAGTTTAGGCTAAAATATGGCGACTCTTACCTCGTCGTTCTGTTCTTTCAGAGGTATTTCAGATCCAGTGTCTCCCTCGAGGCTGACGGAATCCGTGCACTCCACGAGGGTGTCCTCAGTCACTTCTCCATCGAGGCGGTCCTTGTCGGCGGCACTGGCCTTGGACTGCTGAGGGAGCCCTGTCGAGGAAGTCTCTGTGCATGCAGCTGCGCCCTCACGTTGCTCTCCTGGGTGGGCAGCTGGCACTGGCTCATTTGCAGTTGCATCTGGACCGCACTGCTCTTCTGCGTCTTCAGCTGGGAAGTCACTATTGGGCGCCTCGGCAGCGTCTTCTCTGACTCCGTTGGCTATGGTGTCACTGGCACCAGCAGACATTTTAATATCTGTCAATGGGATCACAAATATTCATTCAAAGCCTGTAGTGACTGAATTGTGTCAAGTAGGAATAAACTCTCCTCTACCATCAAGTAACCTTATGTGATCTTGTGCGGCTAGACTAAGGGCGTATAAAGACGTGTCTTTTAACCCTGAGCCTTGTGGGTGCTTTCTTACATGTGTGCTACTGAGGATCTTGGCATGGGAAGTCTGTCTTCACTTCTCTGAGTGGCCCTAACTGTAGTCACGAGTGTCCTCACCAGAATGAACAGAAGAAGGCTGGCCATGGTGGAGCAGCAGAGCGACAGGTGGAGAAGAAGGTGATACGATGAGAGAAGCAGAGCCTGAAGCGATGGCCTTTGAGGAGGAGTGGGGAGGGACACAAGCCAAGGACTTGGGCAGCTATGAGAGGCTGCAGGCCAAGGAAACCATTCTTCCCTTCCAGAGCTGGGGAGGACCCAGCCCTGCCCCCACCCTGATCGAAGCCCAAGGAAAATCTGTGTCTGACTCCTGACCTCTACACTGTAAGGGAGTAAATGTGCGTTGTGTAAGTCACAGAGCCTGCTGGTAAGAGGCAGCCAGTGCTGCAGACGGGGCTCTGGTAGGATTTAGTCTCAAAACCAGACACGGCTCAAGCTTCAGTTCTGTCACCTATGGAAAGTATGCCCTCCAAGCCTCAGTGTTCTGGTCTGGAAAATGATTTTGAGCACAGCCTGGGCTTCTTAGGGAGAGACCGTATCTCAAAAAAAGCAAAGAAAACAACAAAGAAAAAAAAGAACAAAGAACAGGCGGTGACCACCCAAGTCTGGGTCCAGATCCACATGGTGGAAAGAGAAAACCTACTCCTGTGAGTGGCCCTGACTCCACAGGCAAGTCATTGCAGGTGGGAACCCTCCACATGGCCAATGAATGAATGAATGAATGAATGGGAAGATTTCATTGAAGGAAAAGTGTATCTGTGAGCTTGTTTTTAAAGTCCTGTTCATTTTGCAGTGTCATCAAACACACGCATGAAGAACTTAAGAGACGTGCAGCTCCTTCCTGCTGATCACAGCCCTCTGTAATAGGTCTCATACATGACTTGCCTGTTGTGGTTCTCCAACACCTCCCTCTGGACACAGAATAGACAAGTGGCTCTTTGAGGGGCTCAAGGAAAGAGGAATGGGGAGTGGCTGCTAATGAAGAGGAGGGTTCTCTTGGAGGGGACAAGAATGTTCTACAGTTGAGTGGTGGTAGGGCTGTGTAGGTGTGCTAATACACCAAAATCACTAACCACAAGGACTAAAAACGGGAAGCTCCGTAGTATGTGGATTTTATAATTTGTGAATTATAGCTTATAAGTAATTCTCGTGGCCAACTGGACATCTCTCCATGTCTTATTCTATTTTATTTAATTTGAGAGTTTCTCTGTGTAGCCCTGGCTATCCTGGAACTCTGTAGACCAGGCTGGCTTTGAGCTTAGCCATCTACCAGCAAATGTCTCCTGAGTGCTGGGATTTCTTTCCAGCAGGTTTCCTTGTCTTGGGTGTTTTTTATAACAAATCCTGCATTTCTCCCCAGAAACAGACTTTAAATCTCAGTGCTGTTATCCAGGAAGACTCCAGTCTCTTAAGAATATATTGTATATCAGCCTGGCACAGTGGCGCAAGTCTGTAATCCCAGCACTCAGGGAGGCAGAGGCAGGGGGATCTCTGTGAGTTCGAGGCCAGCCTGGTCTACTAAGCAAATCCAGGATAGCCAAGGCTACACAGAGAAACCCTGCCACAAACAAACAAACAAACAAACAAACAAACAAACTCCCAATTCTTAGCCCCACTGAGGTGGAGCCACACTGTTGTGCTGCCATCTGAGGACCGATGCTCTGATCCCATTAGGCTAGCTCCCACTATCCCATTCTAAGCATTAAACCAGACAATATTACTATCTGCAGACACATTCACAACAGAGTGCAGCTGGCTACCAGAATCTAACCCTCAACGACAGAAGACACGACCTTCACTAATGCTGTAACCCACAAAAAGGTGAGGGGCACTAGCACATCCCAAGGGCTTTGTCATTGCCCTTATGCTTTTACCAGACCTCCAGGTCGAAGACACTGCTGCTCCACTGGATGAGTTAAATGGAATGGGTTGACTTGGGCCCCGGGTTGCGTGGCTGCTGGAACAGCACTGAATCACCAAGGCCAGGTGAGCTGTATGTGGTTACTGCAATGGGCAGCACAGCAAAGCAATTTCTAAGATGCCATACATGACTCTGCGGACTTTGGTACAGGCTAATCAGCCAGATAAGAAGTCTGCTGACTGTTTATTCTGTCTTTGGCTAATGCATTGCTTTGCTTATACATTTAAGGCCCAAGTAAAACCATCACTTCTTTCATTCTTTGTGTTTCCCACATTGATTTAATGTTTCTTCTGAATTCCCAAAGTGCTTTGCTTCTAATTCACCTTGGAGAGTTAGAACTATCTGATTAAAGTTACTTGAGGTATTTTTCTTATTATACTGTAAATCCAAGGAAGACAGAATCTTGGCTTTTTAAAAATATGTTTTACACATGTGTTTTCTGCATATATCAAGAAATACGCTCAATGCTTAAGATTGTGCAAAGAATGCCCATGCTCTTACGGCAGGTGGTTTCAGTGATGCCATGATGAGATGCTCCTTCACATCTCAGAATGTCCTGTCGCTATAACAAATCACTGAGATAATCAGCCCACCAATGGAAGGTTTGCTTCCATTCACATCTTGGGAGGGTTCAGTCATGGGAGGGTTCTGTCTACGCCTGTTTAGCCCAGAACTTTTGGAGTGAAGTCACACATTGTAAGAATGAATGTCGCTCTGGCCAGTACCTCTCGCTTTATACTCAGGAAGCAAAATAGAAGAATCGAGGTCTCACTCTGTCCTTCCAGGGCACCCCCCCCCCACCAGTGACTGTATTTCCTTCTACTGGGCCATACTTCTGAAGTTCTCTCCTCCCTCTTAGTGACAAGTTAGGGACTAAGCTGTGAGCACATGAGGCTTGGGAGGAAACTCCAGATATAAATTCTAAAAGTAAGTTAGGATATCTCCTTTTTAAACCAAGGCATGCACTGGAATGTCAACACTCCTGCAAGCAAGTCTACCGATGGGAAAGGCAAAGGTCATTCACCTTGCTCTCGCTGTGTGTGAAGTCTAAGGCAGTCAATGCTGGCTGTGGGAGATCAAGGAGTCTGTCCAAACCCTTGCTGAAGCAGTAAAGAACACTCGAGGCCACTGTGCTGAGAAAGGCCGTCATGTCGGGTCACAGGAGCAAAACTCAGGGGGCACTTGGAAAGGTGCTGTCGTTGAGAAGTCGATAATGGAAACTTCTTTGTGAGCTGGCCCTGGCCCAGGCAAAGGGTTGGCAAAGTACAACCTGCTGGTCAAATCTTGCCCTTCGTCCTTCCAGGCCGGGGTAAATAAAACTTTATTGGGCAGAGATTAGCCTTTCCATTCACATGCGGTTATCACTTCTCTATAATGGCAAATAGTTGCGGATGCAGCCCAGCCCGTGTGGCTGTGAGTCCCCAGAAACGGAAATGCTTACCGTCTAGCCCAGACCTGGGAGCCTAAAGATCTCTATCTCTTACTCCTGTCTTCTTGCCTGATCTTCAGAGAGGAGCTTGGAGAACAGGTTCAAGAAGGAACAGCAACAACAACCACACACCAACATCATTCCTATCTGTTTTTTGTTAGTTGTTTTGTTTTTGTCAACTGTAGCTAGTCACAGACCTTATCTGATACTTTTACTTCTTTGTAAACTAACTTGAGCACCCTTATTAACCTGTTTAATTAAGAAGTACCAGTCAACTTCACTTTTTTTTAGCTTTTTTTTTTCTTTTTGAGACAAGGTCTTACTATATAGACTGGCCTAGAACTTGCTCTATAGACCAGGCTAGCCTCAAACTCACAGAGATCTGCCAGTTTCTGCCTTCCCAGTGCTGAGATTAAAGATGTATATCACCATTTACAGCAAGTTTATTTCTCTGTAGGCAGGGATAGGAGAATAAATGTGGCCATGATAAACACTTGTGGTCAGATGAAAACCTCAATGGATACTTCTGTGATTTGTCTTAATTACGCTATTTTAACACTCACAGGCATTCTAACATACTGTGGCATATGCCATATGACCTATGTGTATGTCAACAAAATTTAATTTATGTCCTAAGATGACTGGCTGATATCTACATTGCTCTACCCAGGAACATAATCTCTGGAAGTAAGCATTCACAGCTTATCACCCTTGGATATCACAGTCATCAAAGGGTGTCTACCCTTTGAGAGGTCTTAGCTACTATGCTCTTGGATGAACATTTTAGGATTTTTTGTTGTTGTGTTACGCCAAACTGCACAGGCCTGGGTAGAAATTCATTTCCAAGTGGTATGGCAAGTCCTTAAGAGGTGTGCTCCTATTAGAAATACTGCACTGGCATCCTCTCTCCTTCTATAGCCAGGGTCCAAGATTATATCAAGACCAACAGCCCATAGTCCTGGAGCTTGGATCTTTAGAGCTGTAGGAGCTGGGTTTTTCTACAGCTTCTAGCTGACTGCAGAACTCTGAAGCCTGAAGCTACCGGTACCGGCTGGCCCTGCTTCTAGAATACAGCTTAAGAGGATGATGAACAAGGGCTATGGGCTGATCTGACTGCCAGCGTACATATAAGTACACGGCAGAAGCCCAGAGAGACTCCTGGGAAAACCCCTCTTCCAGGAAAGCAGCAGAGGGCAGGACCCCCAGCCCTCAGCTACCTCCAGCGGCCAAAATGCCTTGGATTGGTTCACCTGAAGTACTGAAAAACTGCTGCAACTAAAGGTCTGCCATTGGTGTCCAGGCTGTATTCAACCAACAGCAAAACCAGCCCTTTGTAAATCGGCAAAAAAATCATCCGTAAGCTGTTTAGGAGGCTTGTTAAAATGAATTTACAGAATGCTACAAAATGGTTATGGGGATGAGCCCTATCTTCTAATTATATCCCTAATCTGCATCTATCTGTCTGTCTGTCTATCTGTGTTTTCTGTTACAGGTCTGACTTTTTGCTTTTACCTACCAAAACAATACCCTCCCCCCTTTTAGGGTGAGATGTCATTTAGACTGTCCTTGCTATGTGGCCAAGGATGACTCTGAACCTTTGGTTCCCCTGCTGTCACCTCCAGAGTGTTGAGATTACAGACATCCACCAACATGCCTGTTTTACACACTATGTGGATACAATTGGAGCTTTGGGCATGCTAGGCGAGCACTGTACCACCTGAGCTATGTCTCACGCTTCGTCTGTTTGTCCTGCTAGACCTCCGAAGGTTCTAGATGATGCTGTGATGGGGAACATGTCACCAGTTCCAAACCTGTGCCCTTTGTCTGTCACCTTGTCAGAAACTGTGCTCTAAGTGGACAGCTGCTTCTGAGCAGGGACTGGTGCAGTGCACGGGGACTCGAGCTACAGTGAGGACCGTGTGTCCGGAATAGGCGCTGCTCATTTTATCTGCACAGTTGGAAGTTTCTTGGTTTGGAACACTGATCTCTGCAGCATGCCCATGGCTTTGACCCACAAAAACAAGGAGGCTGCTTCAGGAAACTCCAATGACAGGAAGGGGAATGCATGATGAAGCCTTTGCAGGCTGGGAATGAGTTAGATTTTCATGGGCAAATTTATCCATCATCTAAAATGGGCCTAGAACCATTGGAGCGGTTATGTCATGGCACCCCAAATAAGAGCAGAAGGCAGAGGGACTGTGTAACAGCAATGAGCCACATGGGAGGAGCTGGAACAAAACCAGCAAAAAGCCATCCAGCGATGGCATGTGGCTCAGTGGGAGAGTGCTTGCCTACCACACACAAGGCATTGGGTTTGATTCCTAGCACTGAAAAACAATTAAAAGAAGGAAGGAAAAATAGAGGGATAATGGTGCAAGATAGTGTGAAAAATAAACAATGCCCTGGACTAGTGCAAGGGAGGCTCTTGACCATGGCTTTGGCGTCAGTAATCAGATCGGTTAGAGTATGTGCAAGTACCTAACGCCAACAATGAGCCCTAGACAGCCAGGATGCACCTCTGTGTGTCCGAGACAGAGGCTGCAGGGAGGAACAATGAGGTGGATTCTGAAGCCGAGAGGGGCAGCCTCTGGGTCTGGCTGTAGCGTCTCTTTGTAGGCAAACAACTCGCTCATTCTCACTCAACTTCCAACTCCCTGCCCCGTGAGGCTGGATAACATGATCTGGAAACTTTGTTCCCAAGTCCTGAATGAAGAGAGGAATGAGGACAGGGTTTCAAGGTGCTCATAAGTCTAAATTTATTCGAAGAGTCACCTTCATTGTGCCTTTAGCGTCCATGCTTTTCTTGTTATGAAAATGTCATGAAAACATAGTGACGGTAGATGGCTTTTTTAAAAATGGCTCTACTGGGTGAGATTCTAACATGGTTACATGATACTCTGTCCAAGATTGCCTCCCTTACTTTACAAAAGGAGGCCCAGGGTGGAGCCGCGGAGGAGCTCCCGGATCTGTCCAGTTTTCACAGTGCGAACACTCAGAACCTAGGCCCACCTCTACACCTGGCAGGTATTTTCTGAAGCACAGAAGAGACCTGTATTTTCTTTGCTTAAAAACTAAGGGGATGGGGGAGGCTGGAGAACTCCAGGACTCAGAGGTTAAGAGCCCTGGCTGCGCTTCCAGAGGACCTGGGTGGGTTGGATTTCCAGAAGCTACGTGACAGCTCACAACCCTCTGTGACTCCAGCCCCAGGGGGCTCGCTGTCTTCTGCCTCCATGGGCACATGTACACGACCCACAGACACAGACAAAAGACAACACCCCCCCCCACACACAAATATATACATACATTAACAGGGGTATTTGTGTGGTATTTGTGGCCCTTTGCGACCAAGGCCACCCTGTCTTTTGCAACTCAACACTTGTTCCACTTTTGCTATGCCCCTCACCCCGCTACCCACGCTGGTCCTCTGGTCCTCGCTACTCACCCTGCTCCTAAGCCTCCAGGCTGTGATATCATGTCTTCCTGTCGGGCAAATTCCCACTCCCTTAGCTACCCAATTTCAGAGTCATCCTCAGCTTTGAAATCGCTCTTTGTCTGCTCTACACCCTCCCAACCATTAACTGCGCCTGGGTCTCCGTTCTTCTGAGATGTCCACAGACTTCTCCATCTGTGTCACCCTTCGGGGCTGGGACCCACAAGTATTTGCTGACCTGAAATACACTGTGTTTGATATTGACTTGAAGGAAACGATGCCTCACCTAGGTCTGGTGTGAAGAAGGACAGAGCTACGCCTGAATCCCCTACATTCAGGAGGGTCCCCGCTTCCCGCTTCCCAAACTCCTTCCGTGCTGGCTCCCTTGCGCCTGAGTCCAGCCCTGGAGTTTCACTCCCCCGCGGGCGGCTTTCAGCGCGAGAAGTTAATCAGAACGCTTGGGGATCGTGGAAGAAAGGGCGGGGGGCTCCAGGAGCGTGGGCTGGGGAGAGGGGGCTTCTGGGGAGCCGGGGGAGCTGGGCCTCGCGGGGTGACCCCTGGCTGGCGCCCAGGTGGCCCCGGGGGAGCCCGAGGGTGCTGGTCTAAAAGCTCTATCGGGAGGTCCGGGGGTGCGGCTCCCCGGCCCGCAGAAGGCCCCGTCTGTAGGGAATCCAGGCGCGCGCCGGTACTCACCGGACCCCGGGAGGAGAAAGGGGCTGCCTGGGGGACAGGGCGCCCAAGAGGTGGGGCACCCCGGCGGGCTGGCAGGGTGCTGCAGGGCAGGGGAGCGGGCGCGCCGCGGAGGGCGATGGAGAGGGCGGAGGGCGAGGCCTGGGCGAGGGCGGGCCCCCGGGACGGCGACCCGAGCCCCGCGCTGCCGGCCCCCGGCGCCCGGCTGGGGCGCGGCCGGACCCCCTCCGCCGGTCTGGGACGCGGCCGGACCCCCGCCGCCGGTCTGGGACGCCGGGGAAACTTTGCAGAGCGGCCTGCGCCTGGACGCCGGCTCTGCGGAGCTCCGGCCGGGACGAGGGTGCAGACCGGCGTGCGGGCGTGTGGGTGTGCGCACGAGCGTGGACACGGAGCGACACACACTCACACACACACACTCACACGCCCGCACCCACGCAGGGCCCTCGGCCGCGCCGCGCACTCCCCCGGCCTCCGTCCCCAGGCGACCCCGGCCGGCGGCCCCTCCCGGCCCGGGGAGAGGGGAGAGGGGAGAGGGGAGAGGGGAGAGGGCGCCACGGGCTCTTACCGCTCGGCCGCTCGAGTGCGCGCGCCCCGCCACGTCGGCAGGGCCGGCGGGGACGCGGCCGCAGGGAGGGACCGGCGCCGCCCCGCCCCGGGCGCCCGCC